TCTTGTGGATGCCTTCCCAGCTCAAACCTCCGTTGCAAGATAACGGTGGTGCGGCATGCCCGGATGCATCAATTCCGTTCCAATGTAACGGCGGGGGATATCCTTCGGGATATCGTCCACTCCGCATGCCCAGATGCATGCTGCTCTTCCTCCATCGTCAACGCTTTCCGTTCCAATCCAACGGCGGGGGTATCCTTCGGGATATCGCCCACTCGGCATGCTCAGATGCATGCTGCTCGTCTACATTCCCCATCCGCATCTCGACAGCCGGCGCATTGCGGCTCATACACCTCTTCCCCATCGCTATTTTACACGTCGAGACAATCCCCTTCGTCTACATTCTCATACACGGAGTTGGATTGGAGATGCACATGGAGGACGGTGGAACTCGTTACTTTTGGCGCAACAAACGGAGTAGAAATGAGTTTTTCCATGTGGATGAGAGCGTCAAAACCCCAATGTGACCGGACTGTGACGGCCAGAAGACGTAGAGACTTTAGTCTGCCACACCCCAGCTCCAGCAGCGCTCTTTACGTCGCGTCTTTACCTCCCAGCCATCTCAATACGTGTCGTCGCGTCGTTCCTCCGCGATTTCCTCTCTGCGATGAGTAAAAGAGCGGTACGCGCATATACCCACCCTTGGATGTATCCTGAGCTCTTGACCAGGCGTCATCGGCATCGGCCTCCAATGAGGTGCCTATTCCTCTTCACATCCCAATCTTCCCTCATTCAACTATCAGGGAGCCCCAAGAAAGAAACACCGAGTTGTTCGTCGCCGTTTTTGACTTGTTTGCGTCTGACATCCTGTAGGTCGAGTCGACATCTTCAACTCTCAAGGAGAACGATGACCTTGAAGTACGTGTATCGGCATACCAGTCCGCATTTCCCTAACACGAGTCTAGATGGATATCGAAACCGACGGTCCAGCTCGTCCAGAAAGACAGCGCCGTCTGAAGAGCAGAGTAGGTCGAGTTCTTCCCAAATGTTGCACGTCTGAACTGCTTATAGGCTGAACTAAAGAAGGCCCCCACCTCCAAGGCACCGCGTAAAGAAAAGTCGGTGAGTGTTTCTTCTCATATCTTTGACATTCGCAATGCTCATTCCGATTCAGGTCCCCAGTGATCACCCGCAGTTCGAGGTTAGTTCATACAATCTCTGCAAAACCCAACTAATCAAATGCATTCAAGGACGACGACGATGTCAACAAGCGTAGAAGAGCCAAACGGCGCGCAGAATACAATCCAGATGCCGAACTCCTGGCAATTGCGGAGGCAGGACGTCGGCAAGCTTCACGGGTTGGCACAGTGCTCATAGCAGAAACTCTCCGGCGCGTTGGAGCAGAACAACAGCGGCGATTAGCGGTGGCTCGACCGGATCTCTTTGGCCTCCCATATCTGCAAAATGTCGTCAAGGCATCGTGCGATGCCCATGGAGAGACTCAAATCGACCCGAAGTCACCGGCCTGGCAATGTCTCCCGCTGAAGCTCTCAACCGCCATCGCAAATTCTTCCAGAACTCTCACTTTTGACCCAACACCATTCGTACAGAGCGGTGATCTGCAGCTTTGCGATGGAAGCGGCGATGTTGACATCAACTCTTACGATTTCTATCTCAGAGTCGTAGAGGTTGCTGGAAGGGAACAAGCTGTCGAGACGCTGTACAACATAATCTCAGAACACCCCCGTGAAGCACCTCACGTCGTCGTCCAGTTACTAGTCTGCCAGGAAACTCCGGACGAGATACGCGAACGGGCCAAACCTCTGTTCGTACCGTTTGGACTCGAGGAAGTCGTTGACCTTATGTGCGACACGCTCGCCGAAAAACCTCTCTACTTCGCGGATGCTTCTGCTGACCCCAATTGTTTCCTCTATGCCGGAATAACGCGCGCGGTGCTTCCTAGCCAGCGGGCCACAAACGACATCACTGCTCAGACACACTGTCGCATGACCAAGCTTCGGCTTGCTAACCCTTCCCTCGTCGTAAAGACATATCGTATTACTGCTCTAACGACCAACATTCTCTCAAAATTCGCTGTTCGCGTTGATCCACTCATCAGTGAGCTGGAGCGTATCATCATTGCCCTCGCTGGCGAGGCATCCCTCAACTCTGCCTCCGGTGGCGAGCAACCAATCTACCAGCCCACACCTGAACTCCTCTCTTTACGCGATCACGTATTGGAAGTTGCTCCCCACCAAGCTTACCCTCTTGGCCAAGACGAGAATCGGCGTCTTTGCGATGAGCTCGAGAAACTGTGCGATGACGAGCTCCAGTGCTTTAAAGGACTCTCTCCGGACCAGACTCCTGCCGATAAATGTGTTCAGTATGTCAAGCAGGTTGGGCTGGGATCTGTCCGGCAAAATCGGCAGCGCGTTGTGGCCTTCACCGTCACCAAGGACATTTCGCTGGAAGCCTACAACGGCACAATTGACGGGTACTTCGCTGAGGTCACAGGTGCCGGCCCACGCGAACATCGTTATTTCTTGTCCCTCATTCACCCATCCATTCCTCGCTCTGGCGACCTCTCGCAAATAGTCATCGCTCGGTGGATTGGCGGATTTCTGGATTTCTGGAGATTCATGCACCATCACCATTATTGGTGGCTGCATGTCTTGTTCCTTGCCAGGTTTCTTGACGTACTTCGGCCTCTGATCCTCGTCACCCAATCGAATCCAGTTGCCAAAACAATCCGCTCAGGCTACCTCGCACAAAGACGCCAAGAGATGATTGCAGTCAACCACTTCGATGACTTCTTTAACAAGGGTCTTACAACCGAAGACTTTGTGGACACCCTTCGACGCCAAAAGCCACCGAAATTCGTCGAAGATGAATATCTCGCCATGATCGGTCATATTTCCCTCCTTCCCATCGGCACTGGCGCACGACTCACCATGCATGTTGCTGGCGGTGATTACGGTCTGCTCAAATACCAACCGCAGCACTACCAGGCGTGGGCAAAGATCCTCTTCCTTGTGGCCATCGTCGTCGAAGTACTCAAGCGCGTCACTGCTGACAGGCAAGAGCAGTTTCCGATGACACCAACTGAGTGGGAAGACGAGCTGGCAACCCGACGTTGGCTGCAGGACACCATCGATGACGCTCGCTCTATCCTCCAGCCCGTTTACATGCACCTCGATTTAGCGAAAGACATTTGTCGGGAGCTAACATTCGTGGACTCTTTCCTCTCGACCCTTGCCGCATCTCGCCGTTCTCATCTCTTCTGGCAGCAGGAAGCCTCCGAGAAACCGGACACTGGTCCCCGCCCCCGCCCTCCAGGTATCCTCGCTGCAGACGATGGCGAAGCTCGCAAACTGCAGGGCCAAGCTTTCGTCGATCATGCCGAGCGGCTGACAATGTACGACCTGTGGCATGATCCACATCATGTCGAGCCCTATGGTCGTCCAATCGGTTCCGCTGGCTGGTGGACGTGGTTTATGGCCCTCAACTCAGGCGTAGAGTTGATATATTCCACAAACTCAGAGGGGAAGACTGCGGATGCGGCGGAAAATGCGCTGCGGACACGGCGGGACATCGCCCTCTATCGTCATCTGCAGGCGAAAGAGGCTGAGGAACCAAAGCGGCATCGACATCTCGAGAACGCTGTCGACAAGGCAGCGGATATGAAGATTTACGACTTCAAAAGTTGGGAAAACTCAGCTCGCTTTGGCGTTTGCCGCACTTGTAACAAGATTCTGGCCGCGGATACCAACTACATTACACACAAGTGTGTTAATGGAGATGTCAAGCTCGACCTGAAATCCTGTCCAACCCTGGAGCGGTTTCTGTACCCGCACGACGGTGAAGATTTTTTTGCGATCCTTGGATTCAAGTCTTCCGTCTTGCAGAAGCTCGAGCTCAAGACGTTCACTGTCGGGGATATCTTGACGATGGATGGCCAGCTGACTGCTTTGACCGAGGCACTTCCGCATGACTGGGAAGCCGTTCTGCGCACGTCGAGAAGATACGATGATTACACCGTCTATGCTCGTCCCCCGCTCGACTCTCCTCGTCGGCTTCTGATGATGGCGGTGGATGTGGTCCTGCGGAGCCAGTCGAGAGAGGCTGTGCCTGTACTGGCCGCACATTTTGAGCCACTCGGAAGCCTCCGAACGGCGGGCACCAAGGCTAATCGGCCGAAATTCGACGGCTGGTTGAAAAATCGTAAGCATTCCTCCCAGCCAATACCTCAGATTGAGCTGATGTTGTGAAGGGCACCCTCAACTATACTTTGGTTCTTGTCGTGGGCCAGGACACGACGCCGATCAGTGGACGCTTGTTGTTACGAACACCACCACCGGCGCCCCCAACGCGGCCCGCCCCGGGAAACTGAAGGCCGTTGGCTCAAAATGCGCGCACTGCCAGAGCGCTGCATGCGAACCGTGCGAGATTATCGAGGCCACTTCGATCTTCGGAATGCCCTACCACTTTGCGCGCATGGCATGGTTCAACCGAGCGTTGGACCTCGGCTGGCTTAAATCCGAACCCTAATTCTGTTCAACTTTGCACCTTTGTCAAAATAGCTGATTCTCTGTATCGCACACATCGTCACGTCTCCATTGTACACACCACATACAACCACTTGTACTGTCTCGTTCATGCATGGACTGTCTGTATCGCACTCATTGATCGCATTGTACATGTGTACGTACAACAACTTGTACCAGATTATAATGTCGCGGAATCCTCCCTTTTCTGGCTTTCGACTTTTCGAATGGTGCAAGAATCGTCCAAAACGATCGAGATACGATCGATGATGGGTCATGTCGCACCAACCATCGACCGCGTCGTATCTCGCCAACCAATGCTTCGTTTGCGATGATCTTTGGATCCTTCGGAAGCGCAGATTCGGTTAGAGAGACGGCCTAATATGATGAGCGATGAACGATGCGCGTTGACAGGTCTGATAGCATCAAATCCACAGTCACACCGTATCTCGACAACCAGTGGTTCGTTTGCGATGATTTTTGCACCATTGGGAAGCCCCAAAAAGCCACAATTCAGATGGTTACATGGCCGAGCGGTCCAAGGCGTTGGATTTAAGTCGGCGTCGATTTTCTTCGGAATTTTGTCGAGCGTAGAATCCCAATGGGGCAACCCGCGCGAGTTCGAACCTCGCTGTAACCAGTTTTGCTCTCCAGAGCGCTTGCATTTTGGTGGATGACTTATAGATCGTGTCAAAGGTTGTTTGTTTCATCCATATGCAAGTACATATTCATCCAAAGATCTACCACTCGTGAGCATCATGCAAAAGCACGCACGCTGGACCTACATTTGATGTCCCTCCACCCGGAGCTTGGCGAACTCTGCGTTTTCTCGTCGAGTAGTGCATGGGGCAATAAAACATACTTACCTCCGAGTTGGCTTGAATTCCTCGGGCTCATCTCCGCCCCAGAAACTGCTGACACTGCTGCCGCCGCCTGGCGCCTCTCGGACACGTCTACCGTCGATTGAAAACACTGCATATTCAATGTGAGGAACCTCACCGGCTCGGCTTAATGTCCGAAACGACTTTATTCTGTTCCACGGTGGGCTCCACTGCGGCAGGCGTGTCTTGTTTCTTGGGAGGAGCGTCTTCCACGTCGTCGCCAAAGATGTTGGTACGAGTACCACCCGGTAGTTCACGTACACGACGCGTCGGCCTAAAGTCACTCGAGGCCTGTTCTCCAATGGGCTCCACTGCGGCAGGCGCGTCTTGTTTCTTGGGAGGAGCATCTTCCACGTCGTCGCCAAAAATGTTGGTACGAGCACCACCCGGCAGTTCACGTACACGACGCGTCGGCCTAAAGTCACTCGAGGCCTGTCCTACAGTGGGCTCCACTGATGCAGGAGCCTGTTGTCTCTTGGGAGGAGCATCTTCCACGTCGTCGCCAAAGATGTTGGTACGAGCACCACCCGGTAGTTCACGTACACGACGCGTCGGCTTGAAGTCACTCGAAGCCTGTGGCTCCACTGCTATACCGCTCATCAGTGACTGACCAAGGTAAACTCAGAGATAATTGCCTGGGGTCTCGGCCACTGGAGTGCCACCTTCGAGTCCGACTATTTTACCGAATTTCGCGTATCCTGTACGCGTTCATTATGTGGATTACCTGGAAGCAGGACGCACGAGGTAGCTTTGAGATATTCGAGAAGCCAATGTCGACTGTGTGGCCCGTGTACTGAGCGGAGAGCTAAGCGATTTGTTAGAGCGCCCATCTGTAACTTGCCTTGAGAAATTCCAACAAAGAGCGCTTGGTGAATACAATGTTAGAATCCCCTGCCTTTCGTCAAGTCGGAGCCAAACTTGAAGCAAAAACTATCACAGTCCAAGTGGCCCAGGTTTGCGGCCCAGTCCCTCTCGTTCGACATGTTAACAGCCGAGGGAATGAAACTGCTGCAAGGTCAAGAAGGGGCCTAGACGTGTAGGTACGAACGTAGACATTGTGCTCGCGGTGTAGGGGAGCAACGGTCACATCACACTCGCAGGTCATGCTTCGTCGCGCTCAAGCTTCCGCCGTATACTTGAACAAAGCTAGCTCGAGCCTCGCCTCCGTGTCCACCTCACCTTCCATTCCAAATGGACAACGGCAACAGCTGGAGAGCGCCCTCCGTGTCGACCAAGCGGGCGAAATTGCCGCAAACTACATTTACATGGGCCAGATGTTCATCCTCGGAAGAAATCCAGCATTGAAGCCGCTCATTCAAGTCCTATCGTCGCGTGTAACCTCAAAGCTGCGCTCATTCGGTATGCAGGACATGTGGGATCAAGAAAAGAAACACCTCGCCGTCATGGACAAGCTACAGCTGCAACACCGCGTTCGCCCAACGCTCCTCACAGATGTTGCCAGAATAGCGGGCTTTGGATTAGGTGTGGCTACCGCAATGATGGGCAAGGAAGCGGCGATGGCGTGCACCGAGGCTGTGGAGACTGTTATTGGAGAGCATTATGACGAGTGAGTTTGCCACATTGGAGTGCACGTTAACCAACACGCAGGGCCAGCCAACTCAAGGAAATGGAGTTGCTGCCGTCGGACCACCCGAGCGTGCCGCTGTTGCGAGACGTGATTCGAGAGTTTCGAGATGACGAACTGGAGCATCTAGATATCGCAGTCGAACACGATGCTCAGCGAGCACCAGCTCATGCGCTTTTGAGCAGTATTATTGGGGCGGGATGTAAGGTCGCGATAGAATTGTGCAAGAAGGTGTAGCACTATGCCTTGGACAAGGACTGGCCCTGCCTCTTCCCCGACCAATCCCACTTGTTCTGCGCGCGGCATGAGAATTTGGGATGGCTAATCGACTGGAGCATACCGTCGATGCGTTGATAACGAGGTAGAGACCGAATGGTATGATTATTGCACCCCAGAAGGTTGTTCGGAGTGTTCTCTGGGTCCAGCGAAAGTGCTTGAACTGCTCCTCGCGCTGGATACATTTGAGACAGTGGAGCACTGGAACAAGAAGACGAACCATAAGCGACTGTCGCTCGATGGCTACATCCTGGACCTTCACATGGGCTGAGTGGGTAAGTTAATGCTGCAACTGGTAGCTGCAACGCACCGTGGTCAGACATTATGGGAGACGGAAGTGACGGGTGTCACACTTTCTATCTCTCTTCCTCCTCCGAGAACGACTGTCTTCTCGGCCATAAGAGAGTCTCAAGCGAGACTATCATGGCCCACCACAACCGCGAATGGGACCAGGGCAAGCCGTCCTGTATGCCCACCACACTCATGAGGGCTTCACTCATACATTATCCAGACGATGACGACTACACCGACAACAAACGAAGAAAATTCAATTCTGGAGTCGGTGGCCTCTTTGCACTTTTCCGCTGCCTAACTTTGCTTCAGGGTTACGAGGCGCAGTCGTACGCTGATTACGACAATGGCGGCGTTTCTTTTTCCAAGAAACGCCTTCAACCGTCTGAACCCAGTCCACACGTCATTTTCCTTGGCTTGGATCCTGACTTCAACGAGGCCGATGTATGTTCTCTTCTGCTGTCTTGCGTCAAAACTCAAGACTTTGAGCAGCTCCAAAAGTTTCTCGTCTCGCACGGCTGCAGCATCGAGTCGGTAACAATCATCCGCGAGAGAACATCAGGCACTTGCTCATTCGTATTCCTCCTTGTGCACATCCATTGACGTTGTATGCACTTGCAAGGTGCCTCCAAGGGATTCGGCTTTGCCTGTTTCGCTTCAATCGACCATGCGCGAACCTTTGTTGACCCTCGATTCCCTTTCGTTCAAATACCGCCTCCCGCCTCGCATGGTGCCTCTGCGACCGCCGCGTTCTACAAGGCTATCGAGAACGGCCTGCCTCACAACGGCCGAAGGGTCAAAATCGACTTCTCCCAGAGCGTCAATCCCAACGACAGGGGCAAAGGGAACAGAGGGAATGGCAACGATGGAACTCGCGACATTGGCAATACGCAGGCTGCTGTCCTGCTTTTCCGAGGCCTTGATCTCCTGTCTGGGCCACAGGCGATCTATCAGGCGATGCTCTCCTCATCGGGTCCTAGCAAAGTAGGCGCAAAGGGCATGAAGCGCATCATCCTGATCAAAGACAAAACCACTCTGGCGAGCCTGGGATTTGCGTTTGTAGAATTTATCGATGTTCAGGTACGTTATATTTTCGCTATATACTCCTCATCTGATCGTCTACTAGGCCGCCAGCGCTGTCCTCGGTGCGACCATGTCACCCCAAGTACACCCTTCTGGCTTCCGAATCTCCGATCGACCCGTCGCAGTATCCTTCGCACACCCCTACTCATTCCAGCCCATTGCGGACCTGATGATTCGCGACGATGCTTGCATTCCTGGTTCAGCACATCTCGGTGGCGAGGAGGGCACCTTGGTCCGATACTGGGACGAGTCATCGACCATCGTCCAGCTTGAATTCGAGGTCGAGGAGCCTTCGCAATCGACGAGTACCACCGTGCCAGTGAAGGAAAAGAAAGAAAAGAAGAGACACAAAGGTGCGTCTTCTGTACTCAAAATAAAACAGCCGGGTTCGTACTAACGGCGGTAGACGTGGACATTGTTCAAGACGCGCCCGCTGCTCCTTCTGTGTTGCCCATTTCCGATAAACCCGTAACATTGAGTTTTAGCAAAGGACTCGGACGCGCGGGTCCAGGTACATTTCAGAACCGCGCATCGACTACATCCTGACAGTGCGTAGTATCCGTCAAATCTGCCCCCTTGGGATTCTCCCTCGATGACGGCGGAAACGATAATGAAGCAGAAGACCGTGCCAAAGGTCGGCGCCGTTGCTTTATCGCTTGTGTAGATCGAACGTGCCATAGGCTCTGCGAGAATCGTCCCGCTCATGGCAAGCAAGAAGGTGCGATTATCCCATACATGTTCTGAATACCACGTTCTGACTCAGGGCCAGACCGCCACTAACATCAATAAATGGAATCAAGTTCAAGAAGAGCTGAAAGAACCGGCCCCGACCCAACCATCCTCTTCTCTGGTGACCTAATTTTCTGGCTATGCCTTCCCGAAAACCTGGGTTCTCTGGTTCTTTGCTCATCGTCTGTGCAGGCGCCCGTCAGAAAGATCGAACCGGTCAACCTCCCTCCCACATCGAATCCGACGGTCGGCGAGACCCAGGTTGTGGAGGAGGACTTTGAATTCTCCGATATGAATGCGTTGACCTGTCTACTCTGCGCGCGACAGTTCAAGACACCCGAACAACTGGAGCGGCACAATAAAGAATCTGAACTTCACAAGGCTCGCATCTACGCTGCTATGTTTTATTATTTGGCGAGACTCGGCTGACGCGACTTTGCTGCATGCTCTGCTACTACAGAAAAACTTCAAGGACGCAAATCTACGACAAGTAGCGCGGCAAAAGGTTGCTGCGCGGAAAATGACCGCTGGCCTGGAACTGCCCAAATATCGAGATCGGGCTTCAGAAAGGCGTGTGTTGTTCAACCAGCCAGAAGTGCCTGCCCCGGAGAAAGATGGGAGCAAAGCGAGTGGCAGAAAACGACAAGCGGATGGGCCTCCGCCACCGCCGTCTCCACCGCCGGCACCCGTCAATCCCGGCCAGGATGAAAGCAATGTAGGCAACAAACTCCTGAAGATGATGGGCTGGACGGAGGGCACGGGCCTCGGGACTGGCGGAGAAGGTCGCGTTGACCC